ATTGATTATACATTGCGTCCCTGATTAAAGTAAGAGATTCGACCGACATATAACCTTCAAGAAGATATTGCGTCGTATGCATAGGTCAATGCAAACACACGCACGCACAAGGTCTTCGCGGTTACCGTAAATGTGCGGGCCATCGCACACACCCTAGACCTCGTAGCTTGATTGCTCCACGACCGACCGGCAGCCACTCAATGTCGACACGGGTGGTGGTGTGGAAGATTCCCTTTCGTTGCACAGATCAGGTCGCGGTGTTTGTACCCTGTTCGTTGTGGCGCACTCGAGCTTTGCAAGTCGGTCCAGGGGGTGTGCCCTGGTTCGCACATTTAGTCTATGCAGAGTCATATGGTGTCGAGCGTATCGTGGTCTGTGCACCTTCCTTGTTGAGTTTCACACAACAGCAGTCACACGTTACCCGCGCTGAAAAACTGGCAAGCTTCAGACGGGCAACCCTGACGATACTTGCCGAGTACTGCAGGTATCCGTCATGGGCAAGACTTCCTTCTTGGGCGCAAGCGAGTGAAGTCGCGTATTTTAACGCCACTCTAGATACATCGGTTCCCTTGCCCACAGCAGTCTACGCAGCAAGGTCCCAGTAGTCTACGCAGCAAAATTGAATTAAGCAAACATATGGGATATAAGTATTCAATCCGTGCTTAGGAGGAGGATCCTACATCAATCCAATGACATACAATCCGCGAGCAGTGAGAACCTTCGGAGCAACCGGCTGGGGGGAGGACACAGCGACACCGCCCCCCTGTGGTCGGCTCGGTCGGCATCCATCGGTAGAACCACCTGAGGGCGCTTTGTGCAGTTCGTTCAGCTGTCAGGCCACTGAGGCCGCTATATGGCAGTAGTTGGGATGAAGAGCGGCCGCCGGGGGCATCGCCTACAATGGAGCGGGGAACGGACCGGGGGAGCAGTACTCCCCTCTTGGGAAGGGAGTGAGAGGGAGAGAGCTGTAACACTGACTGCTGTGTCAGGTGTGCACGATCTCCCGCCTGTGTGCTAACACTGATCGTTCAGTCCTGCTGGGTCCAGCAGTGCAGCAGCGAGCAGCGGTAGGATCCATCGTCTCAAGCTTGATCGTCTTGGTGGGGGGGACGCTGATTGCAAAAAAAAGGGTTTCACTGGTATGCGAGGCGATCTGGTTTTCCCAGCATTTGACAGTGCCGCGGGCGTCGTTTGTGGCTTTGTTGCTCGTTTGCTCTCGTGCTTCCCTCCAGCTCCCTCGGCCTTTCGTTTGTGCATGCTGCTGCATGTGCGAGTCACGGGAGCGCACTCGAATATACTTCGTGTGTCTTTCCCGACAAAAAATTGGCGGAGCAACAGTCTGGACACGCGAAGAAGTGGATGTTTCACTGCTGCTCCACATCTGTCCGCTTCCACCCTGGATCTCCTGTTCTCCTGTCCCCATCCTGCCTGGTTTGGCAAGCTCACCGGTGGTAGAAGAGTAAGCACACCTTCTGCCAAGTCCGACGAGAGGAAGGATGGGCAGCCCCCGAGAGCCGGGAGACGCGGTCGCGGCAGCAGACGTGGTGCCTTCAGTGAATGAGATTCTGGACAAGGTGGCTGTCGAAGCAGGGCTGCTAGGTGTTGCCTTTGACGATGACTTCACGCCAGGTATGTGCATCGTCTAGAGTATATGTCTAAACGCGGGGCGATGCGATGTTGCCGAACTCTTTGCGCTTATGCACTATCCGTGTGTGTGTGTCTGCAGCACCCAGCGAGATGTGTATAAGGTGCCTCAGTTTGCTGCACTACGGGCTCTTTCGATGGAACGTGCCCCCTATGAATGCATGTTTTATGTACAACCGTCGTTGTGACGGCGCAAGCCCAAATCAGTCCACCTTAACCCCTTTAGGGCTGGATCGCCTTTTGGGGACACTTTTTGTCCCCATCTTCTTCACCTGCTTTACCTCGCGAAGATTGGCATGATTGTCTCCTCCTTTGCACTACTCGACCAGGGGGGTGCCAGGGTACACAGGGACGACTCTAGTCTAGTATGGATGCTTTGTAGAGTGGAGGAGTATGAGGGTAATGAACAGGTCGAATCGCGGGGCGATTACGCCGCCGGTTCAACAGCGAAGTTGCGCCGCGTCTGTTTACCCTTGGGTGGAAAGCGCTACTAGGGGCAAGCGCGGAAGAAGTACCTAAACCACCGTTGATAGGAGGCACCAAGCAACCTAGGGCTTGAGTTAGAAGGTCTCGCTTTCCCTCCAGAGAAATATCTTGAAAACCTCCTTTTCGTGCCCCGTTTACCACGCTCCCGCCAGTTGCTGTCTATAAGACTTTATATAGATTTGTACAGTCTTCCTCACAGTCTCTAGAATTTTCCTGTGGCTACAAGAAAACCACGCACTGATTCTGTCCATCTGTCGCGTCAGCTGTCGGGTAGAGTCGGGCTGTCGTGTCGAACAGCCCGGCAGAAGTCGTCAGCTTCAACCAAAAACGTACGCGGTGGCAAGCTGTTGTTTCTGATCTGATGTTGAACCCTGTGTAAACACATGCCAACAACACCAGCCTCAGCGGAGCGTTGGCACGGCAGCTGTCAGAGCGGATGTGGAGCGAGCGTGTACGTGTGGGGAAAAGAGAATACACCAGCAGTAGCGTTCCCAGCGTACATGCAGAAAGGCGGTACAAACCGAAGCAATTTCAGCTCGTTTTTCCTTTTTTTTTGCTGTTCAGGTCTGGCTGCCTTCTGTCATATGTGTCATACGGGGGAGAGGTTAAGGACTGCTGTCCGTCTCGTCTCGCCTCATCCCCACCGGATTCTTAAGACATCATGATGCTACGGTCACTACCTGATACTGTTCGCACGCTGGAAACCCACATGTATAATACATGGTTTGTTCTTCGTTGCCCTTCCGAGGGTGTGTGTGTGTGTGCGTGGAGAAAAAACAGAAGAACACGGCTTGATGACCCCGCTCAATCAATTCGTCCTTGCTGATGAGGCCATGATTGAGTCCGACTGCTGAATGAACTACACACAGAGTCAGCCCCAAGTATGTAGTTTCCAGCAGCAGTCGAGCAATGTATATGTCGTGGCAGTGTCAGCAGAGATGCAGAGAGCAGCGTGCACACATTTCCGTGCAGACCGCCGAGCGAGGTCAGGAGGCGGCACGCCGGCACATGCACATATATTCACATCCATTCGATCGGCTGCGGGCTTTCAACCCACAATATCCAGAAACTACTTCTTTTTGCAGCCAAAATCCTCCAGAAGGATCTCTTTAGAGTATCGATGAAAAAGCTCGTGGCGGTGTCAGCAGAGATGCAGAGCAGTGCACACATCTCCGTGCAGACCGCCGAGCCCGAGGTCGTGAGGTCGGCATGCACATATACACATCCGCGCGGCTGCGGGCTTTCAACCAAACAAAATCCAGAAAATATATAGCCAAATTCCTGCAGGAGGATCTCTTTGACAGCAGGCAGTATCGATGAGAAAGCTAGCTCGCGCCGACCTCCCAAAAATGGCGCGAACCTATTTTTTCTTGGTGCACAGCTGTGGTAGAGCAGGATGTAAGTATCTATCTGTTTTTCCTATGTTTGCTTTTTTGCATCTTCTTGCATTACCCCTTGCCGCGGTGCTCTCTTTACCCCACTCCGGAGGAGGGATGCACACACATACGACACACACATGCATGCGGCATGCGGGGCTTCAACCAAGAAAAATCCAGAAAAAACGCCGCACAATCATTCGTCGTTCGTTCTGCTGGCCATGTCCGACTGCTGAATGAACTACCAGTACAATATACGTACAGCAGCAGCGCAGCAGAGAGCAGCCCCATGTATGTAGTTTCCAGCAGCAGTCGAGCAATGTATGCCGTGGCGGTGTCAGCAGAGATAGATACAGAGCAGTGCACACATCTTCGTGCAGACCGCCGAGCCCGAGGTCGGGAGGTCGGCATGTATGCACATATATTTACATCGATCGGCGCGGCTGCGGGCTTGCAACCAAGAAAAATCCAGAAAATCGTTTAAAAACAAGCTCGCGCCGACCTATCGCGAATCCTCATATCAACTTATATTGGTACGCTATATCTACAGCAATATTAATGTTGTTTCTCTGTCAGCTTTTTGCATGTTCTTGCATCACCCCTTGCCCGCAGTGCTCTCTTTACCCCACTCCGGAGGGATGCCTTGTAATCCCTATCAATTGTCCCCTGGTGTCCGCTCGTATCGAGGGGACAATTGATAGGGATTATAGACAAGAGACGGCTCAAGTGGGAAGGCAGCTTTGCACTTGCACCCAGGGATGGAACTGTCTGCACCATCCAATCAGCAGGCGTCGTTCGCTCTTTTTCTTACATTTCAGAAATTTCGCAAGACCGCCGAATTTTCTGTGCGTGGTAAGGGGGTTAAACGGGAGAAGAGTTGCCAGTGCGGAAAAGGATGGCATTGGCATGAAATCTTATGAAGACCTCTCTGGATAGTCATCATTCGGCTTTTAGCACCCTGAAAGGGGAGTGGATGGAGCACATGTAATCGAGCATTGGAAATGACCCCCATACACAGATGGGTCGGACACGAGGTATTGTACAGCAGTACAGCAGTACATAGTCCCGTCTCACGACTCGACCCTCGCTCGACACGCACTGCTTGCGAGCGGCAGCACAGAGAACCCGTCGTAGCGGAAGCGTGTAGCTTGGTCTGCCAAGAAAGACTGAAAGACTGCCTGCCCGAGTGTAGTGGCGATGCTGTACAACAACCACCTTCTTCTTCTCCCCCATGATCCTGAGGTTCGATCGGCGAAACTATTCGCGTTTCACGATCGTCCCGTTCATCCCTCAAGCATTTCTGTTTCCTTCCTCCTGCGGCGTTCGACTTTTCCCCGCTCTCTCAATGGCCGGGTGCTGTTGGAGAAGTTAGTGGTACATGTTTTTATCCTCCAAGCGCTGCATACATACAACATTGGCCTTGTTGTCTAAGGTATCGAGCTTTGCGATTCCCGCTAAGGGTTATGTGCCTCTGCACCGCTGTCCCGACCTCCTATGCCAGACGAAGACGAAGCTGCGCGAGATGTGGCGAAGGTGATGTCGGTTGTAGGGCCTCTTCTCAAGAGTTACCAGCACCGCCACGAGGAGCTCGCCGGGTTGCTGACTGCGTCGCAGGCGAGCGCGGCGTCCGCCACCGCTGGTGCCAGAGAGCTGTCCCAAGATCACCTGCAGACGTTTGGGCGGCTCGAAGAGGGCTGCGCCGGGCTTCGTCAAGAGTTAGACGTTGCTGCTGCCACTGCTGGTGAGAAGCAGAACTGGTTGGCCTTCAATGTGGTACAGTAGTGCGTTTGGTTTCTGTGTGAGTGTTGAAGCTTGAGGTATTTTGTCAGCAACAAATTTTCGGAGAATGTGGCGTTTATACGTTGCTTTGTTAAGCAGTGCGCACCACACTGCGAATAGGCAGAGCAGGCTGTTTGGGCGTACATTGCGCACCGTCCACAGCAGTGTGCACACACTTGCACTCACTGGTGACACCCCCTCTCTGCCTTACTCGACTGGGAACATCATGTCTTACCCTCGCAGCAGCAGCAGCAGAGGCAGCCAACAGTCTTTCCGGTACGAACATTCCGGAACAGCGAGGCAGCGGCGGCAGCAGCCTCAGCAGGGCTGAAGTCGCCACCCAGCGACGACTAGCCGCGGTGTCGGAGGCCGATACCCTTGCCGCGCGCTACCGCTCTCTCGTTCAGCGGAGGCGACGCATGCGCTCGGCGCTCCGCGTGCTGGAAGTGTCTGAGAAGGGTAGGGCTGCCCTTGAGGCCGGAGCGGAAACCCGGGGGCAACTCGGAGCAAGAGCCGAAGAAACCATGAAGGTGGGTTGGTGGGCCGGTGGGTGGGCGAGTGTGGTGATGGTGGGGACAAGTGATGGTGTGCGCATTGAGGGGGGGAGTGTTGTGTTGATGGAATAGGTGACGATATGCGCGTGGGGGGCTGGCTGCTTTTTTGTTGTGTGAGCTGAGATGAACTCTAGCGCAGCCTTTGTCCGTCGGAGATGTGATCGCCGGGCACGCGTACGGCTCAGCTACAGTAAGGTGGCGGCTGTCGCGGTTTGAATTTACTTGTAGGGGGTGCGGCTGACGCAGCAAAGTACTGACAGGAGGGGGAGGGCAGGGCTGTGCGGGCGAAATACTTGTAAGGGCGTGGAAATTTCGTGAATTTTTGCTCGTGTCGTTTTGTGGGTGCACTTCTGCTTCGCAACATGCGGTGCAACAGGAGCGAATCGATCGGTGCCGCACATCAAACCAATCCCAAACTGCCCCCTTTTCTTTCTCCATCTCCCTTCCGCCACGCCCCGCAAAAATACACAACGCACTCCCTGGATTGTTGCCTATTTTTTTTCTCACTTGGTGCTTCAGGCAATCGAGTGTCTCCGCGGCCTGCTTGGGGAGTACCGTGACGGCAGCAGCGACGGCGCAAGATCGCCATCACCGGCAGCGGCAGCCTCAGCTGCGGCTGGGCGAGGGGATGGCGACAAGCACGATGGCGCCGGTGGTGGCGGGCCGACGACAACGGCGGACGGCGAGCTCGCGAGGGTGACCCAGGGACGTCTGGAGTGGCTCACGCAGCGCCTAAGGGCTCAACTCTCCTCCGAGCTCGCCGCCGCTCTTCGCCAGGCGGACCCCCTCGCGGCCGCCCCCGTAAAGGGGGCCGGAACTGGAAATGGGACCCGGGGGGGGGGGGGGAGGGGAAGGGGCTTCGGAGGCAGACGAGGAACGACGGAGGGAAGGGCTGGCTCGCGTCAAGGTGACCCAGGGGGGGGGAAGCTTTGACCGTGCGTGGTTGTGCCGCCTGTTTGTGTGTTCCGGAGAGATCACGGAGTCTTGTCCGTTGCGAGAGAGGGGGGGGGGGTGGTCTCGCTCCCAGCGCTAAACCTGCCGCTCTCAAACGCACTCTGAGAGGGACACCCTGAGCCGTAAACTCAAGGGCTCGCGTGCTGCAAAACGTGTTGGTTTGTAGGAACACACACACACCGCGCACACAAAAACCCACGCCTTCATATACTCACACCACCGAATATTTCCTTCTTTCGTCCAGGCGGCAACCACCCGTCTCATTGTGCTGCAGTTCGGCGGATCGCCACGGCCCAACCCACCGTCTCCAGTTGGTGGTAGCGTCGTGAGACGAGCTTCCGGCGGCAGCGGTGGGGCAGCGGGGAACGGGAACTCGGTGTGGGCGTTGGACAGTCTCCTTGAGCCGGTCGCGGTGCGCTTCCGCTTTCACTTCGAGGGGGAGAGGCCGACCAACAGAGTCGACCGTGAGTAACCTGCCTCTGTGTGTTTGAGGCTTTGAAGACGTGCACCGTGGCATCTCCAACTACCCCATACCATCCCATGTAGGTCGAGTCCCTCCCCCGCATCCGGACCCACATCGCTTCCCCGCCGCCCCTCGTCACCACATTATGATGTGTGCGATACTTCTGTTCTCATCCCCCCCTCCTTCCCCCCCCTTCCTGCGGCCCACCTCCCTCCCCTCTTCACCGCCACGGAACCCCTAAGCTTGAATACACCTCTCACTCTTATCCCTCTATTCCATCTACAGTACCCGGGTCCTTGGTGGTCATTTTCCATCGTGTTTTTCTTCCGCTTGGTTCCTCATCCTTTATCCCCCCCCCCCCCCCCCCCCTTTTCCCCCCCCTCTTTTTTTGGGGGGCGGGGGGGGGTGGGTTCGGGTTTTTTTCCCGGGGGGCTTGGGGGGGTTCCCGCCGGGGGGGGGGGGGGGGGGGGCGCGCGCCCCGGGGGGGGGGGGGGCGGGGGTTGGGGGGGGGGGGGGGGGGGGGGGGGGGGGGGGGGGGGGCC